ATTGCTAGTACTATTATCGATTACACACATGACTACCACTACTACTACTACTACTACTACCACTACTACTACTACTACTACTACTACTACTACTACTATTACTACCACTACCACTACGAGTACTACTACTACTGCTCCTACTACTACCAAAGACTACTACTTCTACTGCTGCTACGACGACTATTACTACAACTACTACGACGACGGCGACTATTGCTACTACTACTACTACTACTACTACGGTAGCTCCTACCACTACTACTACTACTGCTATTACTACGACTCCCACAACAACTTCTACCAGTATTGTGATCATTACTCTTACCACGACTACTAGTAATGCTATTTCTATTCTTCCCACAACTACTACTATGACTACTACTAGGAGTACTGCTACTACCACTACTATTACTACTGCTACGACTATTACTACTGGCACTACTCCGACTACTACGACTATTACTACGACGACTACTTCGACTACTGTGACTACTACGATTACTACTGCTGCTACTACTACTACGACTACTACTACATCAACTACTACTACTACTGCTACTACTACTACGACTACGATCACGTCTACGATTACGACGACGACTGCTACAACTACTACTATTGCTACCACTACACGCACCTACTACTACTCTATCCTTATTCCTTATTAGAATATACTCCTACTCCCCCCTCAGGCCGGCAGATAGGGGCCGCATCCGGGTGGTCCCATCCTAACCTGTAAAAAAAACAATACAAAATCAACATTTTTCTTATTTTTTTCCTCTCGACATGGACGTCCTGTCGTCCACGGCGATAATCCATTGAAAAGAATACCACAAAGAGCACACGCGCGCGTTCATGTCAGAGTCCTACCGAACACCGTGTGTGTGCAAGCATTTCAACATAAAAACATCAAAAACCAAATGTTTTTTTTCACAAAAATTGTACAAATTTCCCGCCCGGGCTCTCTTGCTGAAATCATAGGAAAACCATAGGAGTCTTAAGAATTCTGTCAAATCCAGCGATTTCACGTCATCGCGCGGTGCACTCGCGATGCTATGTCATGCACCCAGGCCGCGAATCCTGTGCAAAAATACAACAAAGAGCACACTCGCGCGTTCATGTCAGAATCCTACCGAACACCGTGTGTTTGCAAGCATTTCAACATAAAAACATCAAAAACCCAATGCTTTTTCACAAAAATGCTTTGGGGTGTCCTGTCAGACCGTCGGGCTTCCTCCGGCCACCTCTGGCTTCCTGCGGTGTACCGGGCCATTCTCGACTCGTCTGGCAATGCGTGCGCGGCATTCAACACGCGCTCGCCAGTTCCCGTCGGCAACCGCCATCGCGGCCGCATCAGCTGTACCAAACCGGCTGGCCGGTGTGACTTCGGCCCCCAGTTGTGCCAGCTTTGCTTCTTATGTTGTGGGAGGGCGGGTGGGACTGGGCATGCCATGCTTGACTCGCTCGAGCTGGCTAGCTTGACTACTACTACTACTACTACTACTACTACTACTACTACTACTACTACTACTACTACTACTACTACTACTACTACTACTACTACTACTACTACTACTACTACTACTACTACTACTACTACTACTACTACTACTACTACTACTACTACTACTACTACTACTACTACTACTACTACTACTACTACTACGACTACTACTACTACTACTACTACTACTACTACTACTACTACTACTACTACTACTACTACTACTACTACGACTACTACTACTACTACTACTACTACTACTACTACTACTACTACTACTACGACTACTACTACTACTACTACTACTACTACTACTACTACTACTACTACTACTACTACTACTACTACTACTACTACTACTACTACTACTACTACTACTACTACTACTACTACTACTACTACTACTACTACTACTACTACTACTACTACTACTACTACTACTACGACTACTACTACTACTACTACTACTACTACTACTACTACTACCACTACCACTACTCCTACTACTACTACTACTACTACTACTACTACGACTATTACTACTACGACGACTACGGCTGCTACGACGACGACGACGACGACGACGACGACGACGACGACGACGACGACGACGACGACGACGACGACGACGACGACGACGACGACTACTACTACTACTACTACTACTACTACAGCTACTACTACTAGTACTACTACTACGATTACTATTACTACTATACCCTCGACCCGCACAACCTCCTATCGCGCAGAAGACATGGCACGCCGGCCGCGCCCTGGGAGCCTGATACAGAGGTCTGGAGTCGAGAAGGCGCGACAACTGCCGTGTCTTGCGCGCCTGCAGCGCATAGAGGCAGCACTCCCTGCGCCCCCCACCTGGTGTCGAGACAGCGCCACGCCCGCCATTCCCTGCGAGCCTGCAGCGCATAGAGACCGCACCCTCTGCGCACCCCTTCTGGTGTCCAGAAAGTGCAACGCCTGCCGAGCCTTGCGCGCCTGCAACGCATAGAGACCGCACCTCCTGCGCACCCTCTTTTCTGGTGTCGAGAAAGTGTCACACTTGTCGTGCCTTGCGCGCCTGCAACACATAGAGACCGCACCCCCTGCGCACTCCGTTTGGTGCCGAGACAGTGCCACGTTCGCCGTGCCCTGCGGGCCTGCAACGCAGAGAGACAGCAGCACCCTATGCGCACCCCCTCTGGTGCCAAGGAAGTGCCACGTCTGCCGTGCCATGCGGGCTTGCAACGCAGAGAGACAGCACCCTGCGCGCACCTCCCATGATGTCGAGAAAGTGCCACACTCGTCGTGCCTTGCGCGCCTGCAACGCATAGAAATAGCACCTCCTGCGCACCCTCTCTGGTGCCGAGAAAAATGCCACGCCCGCCGTGCCCTGCGCGCCTGCAGCGCATAGAGACCGCACCCCCTGCGCACCCCCTCTGGCGTCGAGAACATGCGACGCCCGCCGTGCCCTGCGCGCCTGCAACGCACAGAGACCGCACCCCCTGCGCACCCCCTTCTGGAGCCCAGGAAATGCCAGGCCTGCCGTGCCTTGCGAGCCTGCAGTGCATGGAGACAGCACCCTCTGCGCACCCCTTCTGCTGTCGAGAAAGTGTCACGCCTGCCGTGCCTTTCGCGCCTGCTCGCATAGACACCGCACCCCCTGCGCACCCCCTTTCTGGTGCCGAGACAGGGCCACGCCTGCCGCGAACCTGCGGTGCCCAATGTGTGGCGCATACGTCGTGGGTGTGCGACGCAGTGAACACGCGAAGCGTACACTGGCGTTTTTTTGTTGTGTGTGTGCGTGTGTGCGTGTGCGAGAGTATGCATGCGTTCGGCTGCATGTAAACGCGTGTCTCATGTGCGTGCCGTGCATGTGTTGCGCGTGGGCGATACGAGAGAGGAAGAGGAGGTGAGGAGGGAGGAGGTAGGGAGGTGAGTGCGGGAGACGCGGGTGCGACGCGGGCTGAAAGAAAACGAGAACCCCACCAAGCATGTGGGGAAATCATTTGCGTGTCGCTCCATCGGCCAGGTATTGCGGGTACGTTCCTGGGGCATTCTTTCGTTGCAATGTACGCTTCTCAACCGAACAGCACGTTGCACGGCAATAGTGAGGATTGCTCATGCCACGGCACCACCTTCCACAGTTTATGTTTCTACCGTTCGAAGCCTCGGGCATCTCGATCCCCTAATGTGCACATGCGTACTGCAAGGGGTACCAACACACTGAAGAATAGCTCCTGCTGTTATCGTCGTGTGGCCACGTCTGAACCCTGTTGCGCAGCGAGTGCCGCCTCGGCGGGGCAGGGCCAGGAGGAGACACAGGAGGGGAAGAGGGCAAGGCCTGGACAGTGGCTCTGCCCATCTGGCACGAACGCGGTGGCCTGTGTGCTCGATCAGAGAGGCGAGGCAGAGGCCGATGAAAGATGAGGGTGATCCGGCCCAGGGGTTTGCCATTGCGCGACCCCGCACCGCGAACCGACAGTTCGTTCCGCGCGGCGGGCAATGCCGCAAGTACGCGGGCCCAACTTCGCTTCCCGGCTACGCGAGGCGGTTCCATGGGTTTGGCGAAATATCGCCGGTTGTGAGAATTGGTGTCAGGGGCGGGTGCCACGAGAGGGGGGGCAACCAGGGGTGAGAAAAGGGAGAAGAGGGTGCCAGCGGCTATCTCTTTATCCGTCTCTTCCCCTCCCTCATCATCCACTCTCCCCCCTTCCTCCCGCTCCTTTGTCCCCCTTCTCGTCCTCAGCCTCTCCCTCCCCCCATCACCTCCTGCTGCTCCACCGCATCCTCCTTGCGTCCTCCCTCCCTCCCTTTTCCTCTACGGCCGCACGGATATGGATGCGATTGATTAATCGCCTTTTCGGCTTCACTCCCATCCCCAATTTCCCGCTCTCTCCTTCGCTTCCTCTTCCCCCTCCACCCTTCCTTCCACGTCCTCCTGATCAGGAGGAGGACATGAAAGACGGGCGGGAGGGAGAGATGAAAGGAAAAGAAAAAAGGAGGGAGGAAGGAGGGAGGGAGGGAGGAAGGCAGAGAGGGAGGATGGCAGGAGAAAGAGGAAGGTGGAGAGACGGAGGCAGGATAAGCTCTTTACCCACCAGCAGACCACAATTCCGCCCACTCCTGCCTCCTCCCCCTCCCCCTCGGATGCCATCTCGCCATCCCTTGAGGGGATTTCTGCGGCAGTTGAGACACATGCGGCCGTCGGCAAGGCCGTCGCCGTCAGCGACGGGCACCACCAGTCGGCAGCCTCCCTCCCTCCCTCTCTCTCTCTCTCGACCTCCCCCCCCTTCTTTCCCCTCCCCTCCGCCCTCCCTCTCGCAGCAATCGAACAACACGAACACCACCCCCCCTCTCTCTACTCCATCCCTCCCGCCCTCCTCCCTCCCGCCCTCAATCCTCCCTCCCTCCCTCCTCCCCCCCCCTCCCGGATTGCATCTCGGCTCAAGCCCGGCGGGAAGGGCGGGGGTGCCGCGGGCGCCGCGAGCAGGGGGCACACATGTTGGCCGCCCAGGCCCGCCCTGCCGCCCGACAAGGGCGACGACGACGCAGGGGGACGACCAGGACGACGACGACGACAACGACGACACAGGACGACGGCGACGACGATGACGAAGGCGACGACGACGACCACGACAACGATGACGAGGACGACGACGACGACGAAGACGACTCCGCCGACGACGTCGACGGCGACGATGCAGGACGAAGATGACGACGAGGACGACGAAACCTCCGCCGATGTCGACGACGACGACGCAGGACGACGATGAACACGACGACGACGTCGACGACTCCGCCGATGACGACGACGACTCAGGATAGCGATGACGCAGGACGACGACGATGACGACGACGCAGAACGACGACGACTCCGCCGAGGGAGACGCAGGACGGCGACGACGACGACACAGGCCAACGAGGACGACGACGTCAAGGACTCCGCTGATGACGACGACGACGACGGCGACGACTTCGTCGACGACTCCGCCGACGACGACGACGCAGGACGACGATGACGACGACGATCTCGACGACTCCGCCGCCCACGACGACGACGATGGCAACGACGACAACCACGACGACGTCGACTCCTCCGATGACGATGCCGCAGGACGATGACACAAGACGACGACGACAAGGACGCAGGACGGCCACGACGACGCAGGACGACGATGACCATTTCGACGACGTTGACTCCGTCGACGACGACGGCGACGACGACGGCGACGACGACAACTCCGCCGACGCAGACGACGCAGGACGATGACATCGACGCAGGACGACGATGTCGCTGGATGACGACGACGACGGCGGCAGCGACGACGACAACGACGACGACTCTGCCGACGACCACGGCGACGCAGGATGACGACGACCACAAGGATGACTCCACCGACGAAGACAGCGACGACGTGGGACGACGACAATCACGACGCAGGACGGCGACGACGACGCCAGGCCACGACGACACAGGATGACGATGACGCATTGCGACGACGACGAATACAACGACTCCGTGGACGACGACGACGACGGCAACGACGACGACGCGGTCGATGACGACGCCGACGCCGATGACGACACAGGCCGACGACGACAACGACGACGTTGCAGGACGCCGACTCTGACGACGACGACGACTCCGCCGACGACGACGACGACTTGGCCCACGATGACGACGTCGTAGCAAGACGGCGACGACATCCCCGGACGAAGACGACGCCGCTGCCTACGACGACGACAACGGTTCCTCAGATGACGACGACCACGCAGGACGACGACGACGCGACCCAGGACGACGGTGCACGACGACGTCGACGCACGATGACGACGTCGACGACGACACCGCCGACCACGACGGCGAGGATCCCCGCCGACGGTGGTGGCGACGACGACGACGTCGACGACGACAACGACGACGACACCGCTCAGGATGGCGATGACGTATGACGACGACCACAGCCCAGGGGGACGACGACGGCGCCGACGACGACGTCAACGACGACGACGACGATGACCACTTCGACGACGAATCTGCCGGCGACGACGACGACGCAGGACGACGGCGACGACAACGACGACCCCGTCAGCGAAGACTACGATGACGACGACGATGCAGGACGACGAAGGACGACGATGGCTACGACGCAGGACGACGACGACGGCAGCCGCGACGGCGACGGCGACGACGACGACGCAGGACGGCGACGACGTCGACGACGCAGAACGACGACGCTGCTGCCGCCGCCGACGACGCCGATGACGACTCCCTCGACTACGACGACGTCGCCGACGCAGGACGACGACGACGCATGAGATGACAACGACGACCAGTTTGACGACGACGACGACGAAGACTCCGCCGACGACGATGACGACTCCGACGTCGACTTCGACGACGACAACGACGACGACGACCATGGCTCGACGACTCGTGGTGTATCATGGAAATGCGAGCGTGAGACTGTATTATGTGTGGCCACTTTTATCAAGGAAGCTGCGGCCCAGTATGGATGCTCACAGAAATCTTGACCTGCCTTGTTTCGGTCGGCAACTATTGTCTCATGTGCAGAGCTGGTGCGTCCGCCTGAGCAGCCCGCTCCCGCCTGCGGCTGCATCTGTTATTGCTCGGATGGAAGCTCGCGGTGGCAGCCTGTGTTCATATGCGTCCTCTGCGCTGTTGCGACCCTTGGGTGGCTGCCCAGGTTCCTGTGGGGTTCGAGCCCAGCCACGCAACAGCCCGTGGCCGGGAAGCCTCAGCGCGGGCAGCTCACTGCTGGCGCGCCTTACGTCGCGTAACCATGGGGATGGTGAAGCTCCAGTTGGGGCAGAGGTTTTGGATTGTGTTCGACCGCGCCGAGGGCCTGTGGCATGACCGCTTGTGCGGCACACGTACGCGACGGGGGTCATCGTGGCGACCCCCGACGGGGACATTTATGCAGAGGAGTTCACCGACTAAGAGGACTTGTTGGTCGCTGGTCAAGCAGGTGGTATGCCCAGGCGGCTGTATCCCAGGCGACGGTACCACTTCGACCCGGACGACTTGGCCGAGGACAGTGACTTGCGGGTGGACGCCGCCCGTCAGTTGGGCGTGCTGCTCGAGAACGGCGAGTACCCAGCGGCAGCGCCCCCACCCCTCGCCGACGGGCCTCTCTCGGAGGCGATCGTGGCGGGAAGCGGTGAGGCTGTAGGCGGGCTACGTGCGCCGCGCGTGCTCCCGAAGGAGCTGGACGTGGCGCCGCGCGGGACGACCTAGTACTTGCTCGCCGATGGTCTTGGGCAGCGTCTGAACGAGCAGGTGATGGTGGGCATGAACGATCAGTGCATCACCGACGGCCGCTTTGGATTGTTCATTCGTGACGGTGATACCGTTGCCATGGCATCTGCTCTTCCACCCAAGGGCGGCGGCGACGACGACGTGCGGACCCTGCCAGTGCAGTGCAACCCGCGGGGAGGGAGGACCCGCTCCTTCCAGAGTGCGCGCGGCGCGCTCACGGAGGAGAGCTTCGACGACTTCCCGATCCCCGGGCCGTGGACGACTGGCTTGCTGATCAAGGCCTTCCACAAGCCTGGCCAGAGCCCTGTGGCCCGACACAAATGGTGGCGCCAGATGCTCAGCGCGACGACGGCCGACCTGGTATCGACGAGCACCTCTTATTGTCAGAGCTCTTCGACCTAGGCGGGCAGTGCGACCAGCTGAAAACCTTCCGAACAGTGCTGCCTTCGAGGCGGCGGCCCGCCGCTATCAGCTGTAGGGGGAGCGCTACGCCAATAAGATGATGCGCGTGACAGAGGGTGCAGACATCGCAGCCGGGCTGTCGGCCGAAAAAAAAAAAACCTCTTCCTCGGGGCGCCCCCTGGCAGCGCCGCTCTGATTGCGCCCGGCCCGGCACAGCGCGTTGCTGACAAGATGGGGCAGGAGAGCGCGATCTTGAAGGGGCGCCGCAGGGGCCGCGAGGAGCGCAACCTGGCAGCGTCGGCCTCCTCGGGCCCAGGAGGCGGAGGCGGCGGGGGCCGCAGCGTCGGGGGAGCTGTCGCCAGCGAGGGCTAGGCCCCCAAGAAGCTCAAGAAGCCGCTGAAGGGCGCCTAGCCCAGAAACGGCGAGGGCTGAGCTGACGCGAGTATCATCACCCGGTCGCAACGCGCTCGACGCGCCATCGCGCGCGAGGCAAGTTTTTGGGAGCCATCTGTTTAACGCGGCTTTACAGTCACACTGCAATCTGCTCCCCCTTCATTGCGCTGCATCTCCGTCTGGCCTGTGTTCCACGGGCCCTCCTGCGCGGTGGATGCAGAAGGGGCTCGAGCGCTGAACTCGTTCGGAGGTCGAGGCGCCACCATGACGGCGCAGCCGACGACAATTTTTCAGGCCCGCGCCTTGTCTCGTCTGGCTGGTGTGTTTGCCGCGATCCCCGAGCAGCCGAGCGATGCGACTGCCCAGAGCGCGGTGAAGAGCACCTTGGGAACCGACCCCGGTCACGGTGGGGACCTGACCAGCGGGGGCCTCGCTCTATACCGACGATCACAGTCTCATTGCCTTGCGTCGCCACAGGCGCGACGCGTCTCGAAGACGTGCTTCCCGCCGAGGACCGCTCGCTGTTGGCGGGCGAACCCGCTGGACTTCTAGCCAGCGCCATTTCGGCGACAACAGTTTTGCTGGGAGACTTGCCCTTGATTCCCGACTCGCAAAGGGCATGGCGACCTACGGGCGTTTTCTGAGCGAGCTCCTGTCACGTCAGTTGATCGAGGTCGGAGAGGCCACGAGGTTCGTCGCCCCCTTTTCCGCGAGGAAGAATGACGACGCCTTGCGTCTCATCTTTGACACTCGAGACGTCAGTACCTCTCTCTCTCTCTCTCCCCCCCCCTTACACCTCGTCAGGCGCTCAGCTCCATCGAGATTCCCGCGGGGGCAAGCTTGCGCTGTGCGCGGGGCGACGCCGCCTGCTATTTCTGTCAGTCTCTGCTGCCGGACAGTTTCAGGAGTTGCTTCGAGCTTTCTCCTGTGCGTTGGACCAGCCTTCCCATTCGGGTCAGACGCGCCCTTGGCCCGCCCGACCCCTTGGGGTCGTTCAGATTAAAGCTTCGCGTTCTGCCCGTGTGCTGGTCGAGGGCAGTGTACTTCGCCCAGTCTGATACGAAGAACCCTCTGACCCCCGCCGTGCCCACGGACCCCTTTCTAGTTAGCCCAGCGCAGGCCCCCTGGCCCACTTGCCCAGCATGGCGCCGTCAGTGCAATTTACGTTGGCAACTTTGCGTTTTGGTTTCTTTTGGCCGAGCGCTCGAAGAATGGCTTCGCCCCAATGATTTCTGGCTGATCTCGACGCTGGCGCGGAGCCCGACGGCGCCCCCTTTCTCGGGCGCAGCCTGGGCCCCTCGGGTTTGGGCGTCTTTCTGGGCGCATGTTCTGGAGGATCGCGCCGGCTTTTAAAAGCGGTTTCCATGGTGGTTCGTCGGACTGGACGCCAGGTAGCTCGTCTGGTTGGCCGCGTTTCCGTTCTGTTCTAGCTCCGTCCGGAGTTGCTCTCTATCTTCTTTGCATCCCATGCGTTTAGCACGCGCTGTCGGGGCCGACCATTCTGGGTCTGGGGCTCGGTTAGGCACGGATGTTGGCTCGCATGGGCCCTCCCCCCCCACGGCCGCAGCTCGCTTGGACATCCCCTGGAGCCCCGAGGCGACTTCGGCGAGCGTCGCCCCGCGGGTTCGGGGCAACCGAGAGCCAGTTCAAGCCGACCACTGTCGGCAGGATCGGGCGCGCCAGCGAACGATGCCGCTTCCGCGGCGAGCTTCGCAAGTGCACTGGTCCGTGGGGCGCCCTGGAGGACAGACGCGCCCTTCTCCTTCCCGGCCCGGGGCTCGGATCTCGAGTTCCTGGAGACGGGCGCCCCGGCCGAGTTCCCCGAGGATCCCGAGCGGTCTGCAATGCGGGCCCCCATGGCGCGCCATCGCTGCCAGGAGGTTTAGGGGGAAAGAGAAGATCCTGAACCTGGAGGCCGAGGCGGCCCTGTGGGCTGCGCGTTGTCTCAGTCGAGATAGGCGTCTTGGGGGTCTTCGTCGTCGCATCCCCAGCGATTCCACTGCCTTGGTCTGTCCCGCCACCATGGGAAGGGGAGCCCCTAGTTCCTGCTGCGTCGGTGGCGAGAGCAGCGCGGGTTGGCCATTGCCTCCTGGCGCCGCTCCATGCGTCGTTGGGCCCCGTCTGAGTGGAATAGCGCCGACGTTCCAAGCTGACGGTATGACTCACGAGTGAGCATCACGCGAAGCATCTCTACGACCGCAACCCTTCTGGCTCGCTTTGTGCTCGGAGCCGCCAGGCGCCCGCCTTCGCCCTGGAGACCGTGGTGCCTGTCGTTGGCGATGGGGCGCCGCGCCCCCGGGGCCCTCCCCGCCTCGCGGCGGCGGCCCCGTTCGCCGTCGGCCCGCCGGGGCACTGGGGGGCTGCGGGCGGCAGCGCGGGCGGGCGCGACCCAGATGCCGACGTCGACGGCGGCGAACCCGGCTCGGTCGGCCGCCTGCCGCGCGACGACCCGCCCCGCCAGCCCGCCCGAGGCGCGTCGCGCCCTGAGGACGGGGCAGGCGGGCGTCGCCCCGGCGCGGCAGGCTTGCTGGGCAGGCAGAGGCAGGCGCAGGGAGATGCGACAGGCGATGCGCCAGTCGTCTTCAAGGCTGATCGGGAGCGCGGACCGCGCGGCCATTCGCCTGGCGGAGCTCGGCCGCGGGCGACGGCGCCGGGGGCGGCGTCGGCGACGCCGGCCGCGCAGGCCAAATACCTGGAGCACCTCCTGGCCTCAGCGGCCTTGGCGGGTTGGCGGCGGGCCGAGCCGGGCCGGGCGAGACCGCCGACGCCTCGAGAGCTCGCCGCGGCCATCGCGCCCGACCTGCGCGACCGCGGCGGGCCGAGTCCAGGGTTCTTTGCGACGCCGCGACGCCGGTCTTCGACGCGCGCGCGGCCGAGCGAGGCCCTGGCACCCGGGCGCTGCTGGGGGCAGCTGGGCGGTGCTGATCCGAGCCCCGGCGCCCTGGCACCCGCGCGCCAGGGGCAAAGTGCTGCTGGGCGGTGCTGATCCGAGCCCTCGAGCTCGGCAGGCCCGGCAAGAGTGGCGACTTCGACGGCGGCGTCAGCCTCGACCCGCCCAGGCACCCGCCGTCGGTCCCAGGGCTGGAGGTGATCGTCAGGCAGCGCGGGGAGCGGGGCCGCGCGTTCCTTTTCGACCACGCGACGTTGCTCAGACACTGGCGGGCCACCTGCAGGAGGCTCGGCCCCGACCTCCTCCGGGTGGCGCCCTACTGCTTGAGGCGCGGGGGCGCGTCGGAGGATCGGGCAAGCAGTTCTCGCCCTCTGCTGGAGGCGATGAGCGAGCAGGTTGGAAAACCGACTCGAGCCTCGCAAGGGGCGAGAAGTGCTCGGCTAGATCTGCAACGCGCGGGGCTGGCAGTTGCGGCGATGGCCCAGCGGCGAGAGCCAGTGTACAATGCTCTTTCTCGCATCCTGGCAGCGGCCAGACGGGGCGCCACGATCGGTCATGGCGCAGTCTTCTTGTATTTTTGCGCGGGAATTGGCCCACTGGGACGCTTCCTGCGAGACCAGGGGCGCGCGTCATCATCTTCGACATGAAGCTGGGCCCCCGTCGCGACATCAGACGCGCGCAGTTGTTTGTTTGTCACTGTAATGGGATGTCTGAAGGCCGGCAGAGACCGGGGCTTCCGGCTTGGAGGGTGAAAGAGGTGGTCGGGCGCAGGGTCCCGGAAATGGCGTCTTTATGGGCCATGAGTGGGCTATGCGTCCTCGATTGCTGTGCTCGGCGGGGGTGCCAGTTGAAGCTCCCCGCCGGCACCCGCGCGCGAGACTTGAGGGGGAACGAAGCACGGGGGCGGGGGGCTCGGGAAGGACGACGAACGCAACGTGCGCTGAGGGCGCAAAAAGACAAGGTTGAAATATACGAAAGCGGTGAGGTGAGTGTCAAAATCTGCCCAGCCAATCTGACATGCGGAACACTGCGCCTCAGGTTTTGGGAATCTTGGAGGCCAGGGCAAAATGCAAATTCACATTATGGGGAAAAGCAACATGTGAATTCACATTTTGGGAAAAAGGAAAATGTGAATTCACATTTTGGGACAAGGGAAAATTTGAATTCACATTGCGGAAGTTGGTGTTGGAATCTGTATGAAGGTGCCAGAATGTGAATTCACATTTTGGGAAAAGGAAAATGTGAATTCACATTTTGGGGAAAAGGAAAATGTGAATTCACAGTTTGGGAGAGTCGCGGGACCCATTCTAAATCTGTCTTGGGGGTCGATGGTTCACCGCTTGAGAACATGCGCGATCATCAATCGCACAATCAAGACACACATGCATTCTACTTCGCAACCCCACGCGCAGAATGCAATAATGCCCGCGCGCGCATGGACGATAATGGATGGACGGCGCGTGCGCCCACGCGGACAACGCGCGGGCACGAACGACTGGCCCTCCATGACCGCCAACATTGGATGCCAATCGTTCCCGATCACATACATGAGCGATACATTGAGCATGCATGGGCCATTCAGCCCCCATTGAAGACCCCCTGTTGCAGACCCCCTCTTTCGCCCTCCAACTGGCTGGCGACGCCGCGCGTGACCACCACCAGAGTTCGCCAGAAAGGGGTTGATGGAATGCCTCCTCCCCCTCGTTCAAATGAACACCTTCGCGGGCTGCCCTGACTGAGCGAGCGTCTACGAGAGCAAGTGCGGGAGGCGAGCGCTCTGATCGACCGCGCTGGGCTGCTCTTCGAGACCGCGGAGTGACACAGAGTGCCGTGCGGGGAGGAGAACCCCGCCAGCTCTTTACTGTGGCTTTTTCCTGTGCGCCAGCGGCTGCTGGCCTGCTGGCCAAGTGGCCGCATCTGCTCCTGTGACCTGCCAGTGCGCAAGCGAACTCGTCTACTTTTTTGCACGCTGGTAGTCCCGATGCAGAAAAATGTGCGTACCCTGGTCGTCACGGCATATGCAAGCTCTCTGGCAAACCCCACCTCGTCTCTCGTGGCAAGATGCACGGAGCCTGGGTGTCTATTGGAAAGTGGAACGTATACATTACCAGTGGCGGCCTGTTTCTTGAATCTCATGACTTTGTGAGGGTCGGGGACGACGCTGGGGTGGTGTGGTGTATACTTGTTTCCCCGATGCCCCGGGATAACGCCGAAAAAGGTATACACCAGGATCCCGTATACACCAGAATCCGCGTTCCTGTGCAAATTTCAGCGCATGGTCGGTAAAAGCGTCGGTGTGTAGAGTTCGTTTCCTTAGTCTAGGCTAGCTGAGCCCTGCCCTCCCCCCATCGCTGAGCTGGTTGCAAGAAGTTTTAAAAATGCAGTTCGTAGATTTGCAGTGGTACAGTTGTCTAGAACTTCCTGTGCCAAATCACCGGTGGCTTTTCGCCGCGAAAATGGCATGAAGTCCGGCGCTGCTGCGCCACGTGGGAATCTGTTTCGGCTAACTGCCTCTTACAAGAACTGGCACCGTCTTCATGGATTCATGGAAATGCGCGCATAAGAATGTATTATCAGTGGGCAGGTTTTCTCGAGAAATCTTCGGCCGCATTTTAACGCCACGCCCGAACACAGCTGAACAATTGTTTAATCAAGGTGGTATGACATCCGGCGTTGCTGCGCCATGTGGTGATGTATCTCGGCAAGCTGCCTCTTTGAAAATTGGCACCGGCTTCGTTCTTCTCTCACATGGTTTCGGCCCTTGAGACCCTCACAGGTCGATCGGACTCGATAGAGGCCATAGAAGGACGGAGTCGTGTGTTCTGGTCGTAAGTTTGACGATGTTGTGATTATTTGCGTCGTCGGTTTCGGGGGACGACGATGACGACGACTGGCGACATGCGATCGCCGACAGACCACTGGTGACTGGTTGACAACTGACGACGACTAACCATCGACGACCGACGTTTATGGACGCCCGACGATTGACGACGACCGACGATCTAGGGCCGCACTTCGACGACACACGAGCAACGACGGACGATAGACGAAAACCGACGGCGACGAATAACGCATGACGAACGTCACACGAGGTTCAGGTCGAGGGACGACCGACGACGACGACGACTACGACGACGAACAACGCATGGCGAACGACCCACGACGCTCAATAAACGGCGCCCGACGCACGACCGATGATATCCGACGTGCAATGTGCGACGGGCGTTATTCACTCGTCGTAGCCGCCGCCGTCATCGTGTCCCCCATTCGTTGTCATCGCCGCCGTGCAAGATTCGCTCAACTTACGTAGGTCAGTGAATTCCTCCCGGGGGCCACTCTGGCCAGCTTCAGGAGACGACTCCAGCCGCGGCGACGAGATCCTCCAGAGTCCTCCAGGACAACCGTCGTCGTCGTCGTCGTCGTCGTCGTCCGCCGCTTCCGCGAGGTCCGTCAGAGGCCGTCGGGCGTTCTCGCGCACTCGGACGTCCTCGTTGTTGCCATTGCCGCCCCACCCCCGACACGACAGCGTGCTTCACAGTGGAAATTCACGACCAGAGCCCCGGACCCCGCTGTTTTGGGTTTCTTCCGAGCCGGATCGGTCTGCGAGGGTCCCAGGCAGGGCTGGAGTTAAGCGGTGTTGTGGCAATTCCGTGGGCCGTTTTCGTTTGGTTTCGTCTCCCAGTGGCGACAGGACGAAGACATAACGAGAGAGCACCAAACCAAAACGAAAACGAAGACTGCTATTTAGCTGCAGCCCTGGTCCCACGGGTGATTCGATCACAGTTCGATGCCAGGATCTCAGGGCCCGCCCCCGGAGAGGCCTACATGCGCCTCGGGGACACCATGGCCGCGGGGGACCCCGGCGAGGGCTACAGCCGGCTCGCCGGCGGGCCGCGCGTTGTGGAGGCAACCGGGCCGCGGGCCGCAAGGGCAGCGGGCAGACTCGAGGCTGGAGGTTCGAGGCTGGACATTTGTGGGCTCCACCCGTCCCGTGATGCTGGGCCTCGTTTCGAAAAGGCAGCGCCCCGCGTCTCACCTCTCCTTCTCTCCTGTCGTATCCTCCCCCTGCAGTCGGGGCGCTGAAGAAGGAACCCTTTTCGTTGGGGAGGGGCTCCGTGTTCCTTAATTGTTTCACAGTTTGCCTTCGGTTGTCCTTAGGTTTTCGATGGGGAATAGAAGTTTAACTTGTGGAAGAAAGGAGCCTCGTTCCTAATTTATGGTTTCTTAGGTAAACGCCCCGACTGTTCAAGCAGTGGCGAAGCGTCCTGGCTCGCCTAGAGCCCTACCAAACAATGTTCTAAGAACCTTTTCTGGTTTCCACGACATGTTCTTAGAACATTTCTGGCGGAGTCTGTCTTGTTTTAGCACATCGGGTTTATGTCTTAAGAACATTGTTTTTTCTTAGAACATTTTAGGGTTCTAAGTACAGTTCGTAGGAGGACTATAGGAATGCCGAGACGGTCGGTCCCTGCTCAAACTGTAGTCCCAGCTTTACCCCCCCTGGTCGCCACGGCTGACGAGCCACGGGCAGGTTCGAGGCTGGAATCTTCTGGGCGGGCTTCTTGGGGCCTGCTCTGGGGCGCCCTCGGCGCCACAGCTGGGCCCGCCTCGGAATTCTGGCCGGGACGCAACCCCGGAGGGAGGGGCCATGCTCGACTCCCCGAGCCATACTTCGCGTCGTGAATCATTTGCTTCTCCCTGTGGAGTACCGCCCCCCGGCCCTCTAGATCGCCTCCCCCAAGTCCTTGGATCGCCCTCCTCCGGCTCCCCTCCTCCTCCCTCCTCCCAGAGGATTCCGAAGGTCCCCTGTGGCTTCCAGAAGCATCTGGAGATCAAACAATGGGCCTGAGCTTCCATGAGGCTCCAGAAACCAAAGAGGTTCAGAGTTTGTGCACTCTGGATGTCGAAGCTATGTGGTGCAATCGATGTTGTGCAGGCTGCGTTGTGCAAGTTGTGTGGTGCATGCTGTGTGGTGCAAGCTGCGTGGTGCAAACCATAACGGCACCAACAGTCCATCAGACCCTCTGGGATGGCAACATGCGCCATGGAAGACTTGGAGGGACCCTGGCGCACTGAAGCGCAACGAGAGCACTCCCATATTCGTGGCGCCACGGCCAGCCGACGGGATGACACCACGGCGCGCGGCGCGTCAGAGCCATTGCGTGCTTCAGCGCGCTTGCCCGACAGTGCTGAGAGCATCATCGACCCTTCAGCCCCATCTACCATCGACCGCTCCCCCACCCCCTTGTCTGAGGCGTGGATTTATCCAAAGCCACCGCCCGGGGGATCGATATTCGGGGACCTCAGCAGGGGGCCCCGAAAACAGCCACACCCACCGCCACACCCACCGCCCCCCAGGGGTCCCCGACATCGGTTCCCCAGGCAGTGGATACAGAGAAGTCCCGCCTCGCACGTTGGCACGAAGGCGACGGGTCCTGGACCCCAGGGCCCTCCCCAGGACCGACTCCGCATCCTGAGTCGCTACGTTGACAGCCCCTTGGCCCGCGGAGGGCTCCGAGAATCCGAACACGGTTGAAACCTCAGGACCCGTTCCCCTCGGGACCCGTGTTCTTCACGGCGACCCTGCGCCCGAGACCCCCCCCCGAAGAAGAGGACGAGGAAGAGGAGAAGCAAGAGGACGAGGAGGAAGAGGATGAGGAGGAGGAGGAGGAGGCGAAGGAGGAGGAGGAGGAGGAGGAGGACGAGGAAGAGGAAGTGGAAGACGAGGACGAGGACGGGGAGGAACTCCCTCCTCTCTCCCACCCTCCCTCTCTCCCTCCCTCCCTCATCCCTCCGACACCCATCAGAAGTTCGCGGGCTCCACATTGCTCCGAATATCAAGAATCTGGACTACTCTGGGCGCTTTCTTGGAGCTCCCTCTCTTCGTGGAATGCTAGTAGATCTGGACCTGGACTACGGTCGACCTCTCCAGAGATCGCTCTTGGAGTGAAGGCGACTTTCTCAGCGTCAACTGATCTTCTTGACTCTGAGCCGGGGTGTGCGAGACCCCGCGCGCCCGAGCCCCCCCCCGCACCCAACCCCCCCGAGGCCTCCAGGCCGGCACGGGCGGGTCGGCCGCCCGGCGCGGGCGCGCCGGCGGCGGCGTGCCAGCGTGGGGCGCGGCCGCCGTGCCCCGGAGAGGGCTTCGCGGACCCGTTCCCGGTGGAGGACTCCCCCCGGGCGGCTCCGACCGGCCACACGTAGTCAGCTGGCTGACCCAGAGGGGGGCCCAGCGAAAGGAGGGTGGCGCAGTGGGGTCTGGTGCAGCAGATATTGTAGGGTTGCAGTAGATTTGGGGTGTGCAATGTATCCGGTGCGCAAATGGATTGCTGGTTTTCGTGTGCAACGCAATAGTTTCAATACAATGCAACACAATTCTCTGGCGCAATACATTTGCAATACAGTTGCCCCAAATCTATTGCACCACCCCCTTTCAGCTGCACCCCACCTCTTGGGTCACGAGGAAAGAGTTCGGTGGTGAGCAAGGGGAGGACGCGCAAACGTGAAGGCCTTCTCAGAAAACCTCCGGCCTGCTGAAAAGTTCCCTATATCTTCCACGGAAAGCTTCGAACAACATCTCAGACGGCCGAGGGACTTCCGAGCCTTCTGAGAAGGCCCGCCCCTTCTCACTGCCTTTTCCCCTTTTCGCCAGAGTGACAGTTGGTGCGGGCACTGGGGGCTCAAGAGGCGGGTGTCAGTGCAAACGGGATGTCAGTCGGAGCGCTGGGTCTGGCAGGATCCTGCAGAACCAGGGTCGCATTGACCCGGGCTTGGGTGCAGAAACCTGCAGGACCTTTTTTCCGGATCCTGCGATTGCAGAGCCTCACTGGTCCGGGTCTGGATTGACCCGGGTCAGCCGATCGCGGTCCCCAGAAGGCCGAATGGCCTCCCCGCGCACCCCGAATGCTGCGCACCACAGAGGTTATTTTTTGTATGGGGCCTCTCTGGCGTGGGGAGGGGGAGGCTGCCCTCCTCCGTCGCAGCGGGCCCAGGCATTCATAGGAGGAAACGGTACCCATACCGCTACCCTGTCCTCGTTTTCCCTTTTGTGGGCCTCCTCTTGGGAGGCCTTCGTCGCCACCGCCGGATTCAGAACGCGCCCTTGGAGAGGTCCGGGGAGTAGCGTTATCGGTACCTTGCGGCTTCCCCAGGCATCCAGCGTCTCGAGAAAATCGGCACTGAGGGTTCTCATATCGTTTGGGGCCTCTCGGGTCCCACTCTGGGCCTCGGGGCCGTCGAAAAGAACGGCTCGGGGATAGAAAACCGGTCCCGCGGAGGTGGTCGAGAGGTCGGCAGCCCGTGCCTCGACAAAAATCGAGGCGCCGGATGTCTGTGGGGTCGGACCTCTCTGTGGCAGAGGGGGCAGCGAACCCCCCCCCCTCACCCCCGCAACCCCGTTCCCCTCCCCCCGCTCCTCCCCCCCCCCAGGGAAAGGAGCGACTTCGAGAGGACGAGTAAGGAGGAGGAGAAGGAGGAGGTGGAGGAGGAGGACGACCAGTGTAAACCCAAGATTCATCAACGGTGTTGGCATGAACCCTCCCTCCAAGCTCCCTCTTCATAGGCTCCCCCCCAGAGGCCGCGCACCAGAGGTCACCCCTTGCCAGAGGTCGCTCCTGCGCGTGCAGGGTCACTCCCTCTCTCTCGCGGCGCTAAGGCGAGAGCCACATTCTGAAAAAAAACACCCGCCCTCAACCCGTGAAGCTCTTGCGATTTGTTACAACGAATGTGCGCGGCGCTAAGGCAAGAACCACATGTTGAAAGCCACCCGCCCTCAATCCGTGAAGCTTTTGTAATTGTTTAAAACGAATGTGCGCGGCGCTAAGGCGAGAGCCACATTTTGAACATCGCCCGCCCTCGATCCGTGAAGCTATTGCATTTTTTGAAAACGAATGTGCGCGGCGCTGATGCGAGAGCCACATTTTGAAAGCCACCCTCCCTCAATCCGTGAAGCCCTTGCGAATGTTTCAAACGAATGTGCGCGGTGCTAAGACGAGAGCCACATTTTGAAAACGACCCGCCCTCCATTTGTGAAACTGCTGCCGATGTTTAGGCTTCAGGGTCATAAATGGTGAGGAAGTCTCAGGCGAAACGCCTGGCCCGCCTCTTCGACCGGCCTCGGCGTGCGACAGGGAGAAGTTATTCACAAGGGCTTCATCTTTGAGGACTCCCCTGCGCTGGAGGAGGATCGGCTCAGACAAAGAGGCTGAACTGGGAAAAAGGGGGGGGGGGGGGGGGCGAAATATATTGCATGCAGCTGGGTTTGGGCCCGCTGCCTAGGCAGGCGCTTTCCTTGATGCACCATGGCGCCTTCGGAGCGCCAGGAGTTGTTGAAGAAACGAGCTGCGTGCCGCTGATTCGCTATCTCCATTTCTGGCTATCCCCCCACTCGTCTGCCTCGACGGGAGGGAGGAGGTGGACGAGTGCAAACCCAAGACTCACCAACGATGTTGACACGACCCCGCCCCTTCAAGTTCCTCTTCATGCGCCCCTGCATGGACTTGTTTCCACTAAGTTAGAGAATGCCCCGTTGGAAGACAATCGTTTGAAAGCCCTGAACCGTGCCGAACAGCATTCCTGGGAGTTCTACTCCGCGAGTCAGCGTTACTGTTGCGTCCTGACGATCCTGAATCGTGCCAGAACACCACTCCCGGGAGTCAACAGCGCGAATCGAGGAGATTGTTGCCCCCCTGACAGTCCTACATCGTGCCAAAACATAAGTTCTGGGATGTCAGCCACAAGACACATTGAAAAGGCGGTCAACTCTCCAGACAAATGTGCGGGGCGCTAAAGCGAGAGCCTCATTTTGAAAAGGAGCCGCCCTCCATCCGCGAAACCCGTGCAAACTTTTAAGACGAATGTGCGCGGCGTTGCAGGCAGAGCCACAGTTTGAAAAGGGGCCGTCCCTCATCCGTGAGGCTCTTGCAAACCTTACAGGCGAATGCGCGCGGCGCTGAAGCGAGAGCCACATTTTGAAAAGGTACCGCCCTCCATTCGTGAAGTTTCTGTTTGCACACTTTCAAGACGAACGGTCGCGGCGCTCAGACGAGAGCTACATGTTGAAAAGGAGCCGTCCTCCATTCGTGAAGCTTTTGCACACTTTTAAGGCGCACGTGCGCGGCACAAAGATAGGGGCCACGTATTGAAAAAGGGCCGCCCTCCATTCGTGAAGCTATTGCATTCAGACGAACATGCACCGCGCGAAAGCGAGGGCCACATTTTTTCAACGGCCCGCCCTCCATAGGTGAATATCCTGCGAATTGTTAAGACGAGTGTGCGCGGCGCTAGGACGAGAGCCACATTTTGAGAACGACCCGCCCTCCGAACTGGTCAGAAAGTCTCAAACGAAACACCCGGCCCGCCTTACCGTCGCGTCTTGGGGTGCGACAGGGAGGAGTTATTCATAAGGAAAGGAATAGAGGAGGAGGTGGATGAATAGGAGGAGGAGGTGGAGGAGGAGGAGGAGGAGCTCCGAAGAGGAGGAGGAAGAGGAGGAGGATCGTAACCTCAGGAGGTCTGTAGTGTTGCTACCCCCATGTTTCCCTCGGCGGGGAAAGAACTCGGCCCTCCTCCTCCTCGTCTTCGTAGTCGTCGCGGCGGAGGTTATGTTCCCTATGTTCCTATATTGTTGGGCGGGCTGGACGATGTTGGTTTTGCCTCCAAGGGAACAAACCGTTGTGGGCTACGTACAAGCGAGAGGATTTGTGGGCATCTTCTCACGTGGATTGCGATCGGAATGTACATCGTTTTGATTCGCGAGTAGTCGTAGTCGTAGTCGTAGTCGTAAGAGCAGTCAGTCGTGGTCGCTAGCGACTGTTGGTGGCCGTTGGGCGGCGGGTGCCGCACAGAAACATACTCGTCTCCCACGATTCGGTGGGACCCCGGGCCGTCAAGGAGGTCGCCAAGAAAACATGGTTCGTCCGCAAGCGTTGGGAGGGGGCTCCGAAGGCCCACTGCGGTCCGCCGAACCCCACGGGACCTCTCCGAGGAGGACTCCGCGCCGCGCGGCGGGCCCTCCGAGCTGTGCTCCGCCGGCGGGCCCCGCGGCAGCCAGCTCCCGATCGCCGCGCGCGGCAGGGCGCCGACGCCGCGCAGCCGCAGCCGCAGCCGCTCCGTGGACTCCGCGGTGCGCCTGTCCTGCTGGAAGGCCGCGCGGGCCCGATAAGCGAGGCCCGAGGCCGCTTCCGTTTTTTCGCACGCGGCGTTGTCACTCGCTGTCGGGCCCCGGTGCCCTCACAGATCGATGCGGCTCGAAGAGTGACGCGGAAAGACGGGGTCCAGGGCTCCGGTCGTGATTTTTTGCGGAGAAAGAGGCCGCTGCCACCGAGAGCCCATCTCCAGAGACCTCCCAGGGTGGGGTCCGAGCAGGCGGAGTGTGGATCGCGCCGCATCGCCGATGCATCGGCGATGCGGCTGGATGTGGAGCCCGATTTTCTTCACGCGGACGTCGCCGATGCATCGCCAACGTCGACGTTGTATCGCCGACGCGTCACCGATGCATAGGCGATGCATCGGCGATGCGGCGCGATCTTCTGACCCCATCTGCTTGGACGCCATTTGGGAGGCCTCTAATCGGGGGGGCCGACTTCTGGGCGGTGGTGTGCCCGAGCGTCACACAGTACCGGCGTGGCACTGCCTCCCCCCCGACAGGTTCTCGGTGGTGGGGGTCTGTTTTTATCCTCTGGGAGAGGGCATGGGTGATCCCTCGCCCACTCCTCAGAGCCAAGTACCTATGCGGTGGACGGTCCCAGGGGATCGATCCATCGTGCAGAGATCTCTTGCATTCGGGCGATAGGGCAGGTGTGCGGTGGGCCAACGTCTGAGAGCGGAGTTCGCTGCATTTGGGCGCGCGCTCGCGCTACACCTCCGAAGACTCGAAACCAAGACTCGAAACCACCGAATTGGAGGTTGTTCTGCAGTTTCGGGCTCTGGAGGCTACTTTCGGGCCCAAGGCCAAAACTGGCTCAGGATGAGAAGTCGGGCCTCGGGAATGTGCCCAGGGGGTGGGGGGATACGGACGCACGCAGCGCTGTGGAAGGTCAGCCGGATTGGTGCGGCTTGCCGGGGTTCGCGACATGGCCCATGTTGACCCAGGACTCCTTGCGGGGGGGCTGATCCGTTTGTCGGACGGTCGGCGGAGGACAAGATGGTCCTGGCTGGCCTCCAAGATGGCCCCAAGACGGCTCCATGATGGGTTCCACACCCCCCAGGGCGCCCCCCCAGATTCTCCGAAGGGGTCCCACGAGGCCCCCAGGGGCCCCCATCATGGCCAGAGAGGGCCCAAGGGGGCCCCTAGAGAGTCCAACGGCGCCCCGAGAAGGCCCGCAGATAGCTTCAGGGGGCACCAAGAGAGCACCAAACCAGGACCAGCCAGCTATCTCTCACCCTATCAAGGGGGAGGCGATTTTGCGTTCCCGTGCTGGCACAGTCTATCTCGCTATTGGCCCGATGCGCTTGCTAATGCGTCAGCTTTCATGGTTTTGCTAATCTCCTCATGTAGAGGTGTTCTGGAAGACGCACAGCGGCCGGGAGAGGTGAACCTCTCGGGAGGGTCGGGCTGGGAGTCTGGTGTCAGGAGGGTTGGCTCGATCTGGTGCTCGGGGGGCGGAGAATGTTCCAGGAATCCGGTGCGCGCGAGCTCTGTGCAGAGGTGCCTGGTCGATCACTTTGCCCGTGCAACGCTGGTTCCAGGGCTCAACAAAAGAGCTCGCCTTCGATGGAACGACTCCTCGGGGGATACCGTCGAACGCTGGCGGAACGCAGGAGGCGGAATCGGGGGGGAAAGCGGCCCTAAAGGGACCCTTTAGGGCCCCTGTTGGGGTCAGCAGGGAAGGGCCCTTTTCTCCCCCACCCTATCTAGGTCACCCCCCAATGCCACCCGCCCGATCTTGGCAAATGGCACACGTAGGGCGTTGGATTACCAGCAGGTGGGGTCGGAGTTCTCGTGGGAGGGCACCAGCGACGAGCCGGTCACGGGTTCTACTACGACTTGCGGTCTGACATGCAAATCCGCCCCGATTCGGTCGTCCTCAAGATTGCCAAGCGATTCAGTGGCCTTAGGCACGACCAGTGTCAGCATGCGCGATCGCATGTTTCAATCGCTATCTTCCAACAAGAAAGTGCAGACCGTGGCGGCCAAGATTAGGTCCGTTGAGAATTGGTACAATTTGCTGCCAGACTCCCGGTTTTTATTGTGTTGGGATGTGTGGATTTTCGTGAATTTGCTTATCACTGGAGTTGCGGAGCCTTACATGGAGGTGTTCATGACCGACGCTTGGCAGACCAAGTTTGTAAATGTATATTTGGCTTTCGTATTCATGCTTGACACTTGCCTGAACTTCTTCCGAGCATTCAGGGACTCTACACGAGATGGCGTCGTCCTCGTAACAGATCCCAGCAGGATTGCGCGGCACTATTTGCGAACCAGATTCTGGGCCGACGCCTTGAGTTCGTTGCCCCTGGCGCTTATCAGCCCACGACTGGCAATTTTTCAGTTGCTCCGCATCTTGCGCCTTCACAGGATGATGTGGCACCTCGCACAGGCGGGGGTGTCATTCAGCGCGCTCAATCTCGTAGAGTTCTGCCTTATGTCAGGATTTGTTCTCCACTGGCTCGCATGTGTATGGGCCACGATTGGCTTGGACGAGGACGGGTCATGGATGTTGGTTGCGCAGGAAAAGCTGGGGTTCTTTGAGGCCGACAATTGCGTCGATAAGTATTTGTTATCCCTGTATTGGGCAGTGACTGTGCTATCGTCAGTTGGCTTCGGTGACATCACGCCTGGTACTCGGGCAGAGTTCCTTTGCGCCATCGTGTGCATGGGCATCGGCGGCTGTGTGTGGGCGTACATCGTGGGGAGTGTGTGCGGCATGGTCTCCGCCCTGGACAAGTACCGCATCGACGTGGAGAGAAAGGGGAACGACCTGATGTGGCTGTGCCGAGAGACCAAGCTACCCAGGCAGTTGGCCGAGCGGATCAAAGGATATTTCAGCCACGCCAAGGAGTTCTTGAAGATGGAGCAGTACCACGAGGTAATGAAAGAGCTCTCCCCTGCCCTCAAGGGCGAGGTGGTGGCGTTCTTGTACGGCCGGTGCCTCAAGCGGGTCTGGTACTTCGACGTCTGCGACACGCGTTGTCAGCAGGCTTCGGCCACGCGCAGAGGGGGTAGGGGTCGTTGTCGTCGTCGTCGTCGTTGTTTTCGTCGTCGTCGTTGTTTTCGTCGTCGTTGTTCTCGCCGTCATTAGTTCCATCATCGTCGTCGTCGTCGTCGTCGTCGTCGTCGTCGTCGTCTAGCGCCCGGGGCCCTCCCGCGGGATTCCTGATGCTCGGCGCCTCGCACGGATTTCTCGGATCGGCGTTGGCCCCCTCTGAAGGCGCCTCTTCAGCCACGCGCAGAGGGGTAGTTGGGGGGGGAAGGCTTCTTAGAAGCACCCCTGCTTCTTAGAAGGCGCTAGCCTTTTCCATGGACGTAAGGCCGGGGCCTTCTAAGAAGCAGTGTGCTTCTAAGATGCCTTCCCGCCTCCCCCTACCCCCCTTGGCGCGCCGCCAAAGGTTCTCGTGGAGGGCATGATTCCAAAGATGTACGGAGCGGGCGAGCACGTCGAGAACATCACCGGCCGCGGCGACCGAGCCCTGGTCTTCCTGCGCTCGGGGCTCTGTTCCCGCAAGAATGCGCTGCTGGCCCCTGGGGCCGTGTGGGGAACGGACGTCATATTGGATACGGAGGAGCACGAGGACATCGAGGAGCTTCTGGACGAGGAACTCGCAGTCACTATTAATTTCTGCTTTGTGCTGCTGCTGGGCAAAAACAGTATCGACCACGCGGCCTCAATGTTCCCCGTCTTTGGAAAGAGGCTGCGCAAAGCGCATACGCGGATGCTTCTCTGGCGAGGTATCATCGCGGTCTCGCGCGCGGTGAAAAAGCTCGAGGAGAAAGAGCGCGTCCCCGAAAAGATCTCCAGGTGGGACCAGCTCGGCATGAATTTGGCCAAGGTTGTGCACAAGGACTGCGAGTTGCTGCATAGCAACCTCGCCCAGACGCCGATGCCGACGCCTATCTCGTGCCTGTCAAAAACAGGTTCGGGCACAAACCCCCGGCGTCACTGTCAAAGCATGGCGTCGGGGATCCGCAATTCTGTATGTTTCGCGTATCCCTAACAGCCCATTCAAAATCATTGCCAATGAGAGTTGACGGGAAAAGGGACGAAGAGACACATGTAGTGAAACAAAGCGGGCAACCAGGGTGAACAGAGAGTTCTCTGGGGGATGGGAGGGGGAGGGTACCCCATCCCTGAAGGGAATGTGTTTCTGGAAGCGTAGAGGAAGATATCGTTAGACCGCCCTCGCCCAGTTCGCGACCCACCGGGGCTGCTGGGGGCCTGTCGTTCTGGGAGGCCCCAGGGGGTCCCGGAGGCCAAACTCACGACGGGACCCTGGCGCCCTGACTTCTCCACGACGCCTGGGGCCAGGGGGGCGTCGAAGCGCCAACATGTGCATCACCAGGATGGGCGGCGCGCTCGGGGGAGGGGGGGAAGTCCTTCGCCTGCGAATGGTGGTCAGCACCTGGGGATCAGGAGAAGGTAAGCGCAATTCCTTGGACGTGCCTTGTTCGGGGCAGTCTTTTGGATCCCAAACTATGTCTGCCTCGTTTTCTCCTGGGCAATTCCTTTCGGAATTCTTGGCCTGGGCCGGTATTTTTCTCAGAAATATGGCGTCCTTAGGTTTCCCTTCGCTGACTCTGACCCCTAGAAGGCTGACCTCCCATTGGCAGGCGAATGAGAAGGCACAGGGGGCAGGCCTTCTCAGAAGTCGGCGGGGCTTCGGAGGAAGTCCCCCGGCCTTCTGAGAAGCCCCCCGTGGCTTCGGAGGAGGCTCGGAAAGCTCACCAGAGGGCAGGAGGCCTCCGGAGCCTTCCGAGGAAGCCCGCCGCCTCTGCCTCCCCGCTGGGCGCGCCGCAAGTTAGGAAGAACTCCCTGTGCTTCGAGCCCGCCAGCCCGGCCAGTGCCGCCTTCGCCGCGTCCACCGCCGCCGAGTCCAACCTGTTCTGCCTGGAGCCGGCCGTGGCGGAGCCCGCCCCGCGGTCTTCGGACTCGAAGGAGACGGCGGCAGGAAGAGCAGTCGCCTTGAAGCAGGGTCCATTTCGATATCGATTTTGGCTGGCCCGATCCGATTCGATTCGGATGTTCGGGCTGCTGTATCATGCCGATTCCGTACCGATCCGATTTGCCGATTCGATGTTGATTGATCTTGTGAAGCAGACGGGTCCTGAGGGAGAGAGGTCCTATCCGGCGGGGCTAGGGCGAGGAAGAATCCGTTCCAGAGCGCTCCCGAACGCTCGCGTCCCGGAACGGTCTGAGAAGGCTGCGGCGCCCGAGACATCCTCCAGAGCCGCCAGATCTCAGAGATTCTCGATCTATCCGCACCCTACTTTATCCTCGTCCTGGCTTCGTCTTAGGTCCTGAGGCGTCTCCTCCTCGGCGTCTCGAGGCCACCTCCGGGCCCCGGGGCCCACCAGAAGCCATTCGGGGCGAAGGAGGCTGGTCCTGTGTGGGGTACGTCCCACGGTCTCGGCCCTCGTGGTCTGATCCACCAGTCGAGCCTTCGTGCTGATCCGAGGGGTCCTAGAGAGGTTAGTGGGTGAGGGGAGCCTGCTGACAGTTAATTTGGGTAGCCTCACGTGCGTGCTCGCGTGCTTGCTCCCGACAGCCATTCGGCCGGTCTCAGGAGAGCAAGGACCCCAGTTTTCTGTCAGAGGGGTTCCGTGGGCGATTCGCGCATTGGTAGCGCGGAGTTGGTGACCTTCACGGGTGTGAAGGACGACGACGCCGAGGACGGCGCCTCCCTGAGGCGAGTGAAGCCTCAGAGTCGAGTGAGATATCCACGGCGATGGCGGCTGTATGCTGGCCAACAGTGAGTTCAATTCTGGTGCAGTCCGTCGTTTCTCAGGTACGGGCCCAGATGCCAACAAGGAGTATCGTGTGTGGAGAAACTGGGTTCGTGCGTATACTGTGGTCCACCGAGCTCGTGGTGTGCCGGCCACGGCAGCAGGTCTTATTTGGTTCACTCTTCTGGATGATTTGGCTGCGCGTGCAGTCGAGACGCTCGAGGTTGACGAACTGGAGGTGGACGGAGGAAAGGCTATGATTTTCAACGTTCTCGACGAGAGATTTCCCGATCTTGCTGCGCATGACCGCTTGGGGGAGGCTCTGACGGAGATTTTCAGGTCGAAGATCACGCCCAGTCAGTAACACCATGGCTCAGTATTGTGGTCGTGTCAGTGCATCTCTCAGAACCACGTTTCCCAACGGTCTAGCAGACTACGGTCCTGGACGACATGATCGTCATGTTGGGGTCAACGAAGTGGTGGAGAGTGCGACTCACGAGGTGCCAGATTCCGTCGACCTGGAGATTGATGTTCTGATTGCGGCTGAACCGGAGCCCCAGAGTGACGTGTTGGACGAGGCTGATGCGATCCAAGTCCTGGCGACGTGGCAGGAGCAGATGGAGAGGTTCTGGTGCGAGGAAGCCGGATGTGAAGGCCTTTGCTCGACGAGCGACATGAGGCGGGGCATTTCAGTCGGGATCGCAAGAAGCCGAGGAGGCCTAGGCCGCAGCAGGCCGAGGCAAAGTACGCGACAGAGATTCCTGAGAACACGGCTGTGCCCCCGATAGTGACGGCAGAGGATTCCGATGATGATTTCGACAGGATCTGCAACTATTTTCCGGACCTGATTGTGAAGACGGAGATCGGAACAGGGGTCGAGGCGCTGATTTCTGCACGTGATGTTGGACACGGCGTGGTGGACACGGGTTTCGGTCGTGGGTTTGTCGGGGAACAGACGTTGACAGAGCATGAGGAGGCGATGGCAAAAACCGGACTTAGCATCACAAAACTGACCCATCCCCAGCCGAGATCACTTTCAGCTTCGGAAATCAACAGAGTCCGAGATCAATTGCATACGTGGAGATCCAATTTCGCACAGGTGGCCAGGAGGTCCGCATCAGATTGCACGCGATTCTTGGAAAAAAGCGCCCGTGCTGCTGAGCAAGCCGATACCCAAGACCTTCGGGGCCATCATCGACGTGGTTCGGGATCAGATGACGTTCGAGAAGCTTGGTGTGTCGGTGCCGGTGTGGGAGGCCAAGAGGTGACACTACCAACTGAACTCGCGCGAGCTGATCTCCGACAGTCAGAAGCAGGTGTCTACTCCTGAGGTGGACGCGGTGGCTGTACCATCCGAATATTTCCTGAGGTGGCCGAGGCGACCGCGGGCTTTCACTAGGGCCAGGCCGGGGCCCTCAGGTCAGCGACGAGAGTGGGTTTGATGTTGACGACACGTTTGAGCGTTGCCAAGCGGGGGTTCCTGGCATTCCACGTCGTCGCGATCGGATAGAGTTGCAGAACAGCCTGAGCCAGATAATGAGGAGCCAGAGCGTGAAGCCAAACTGTCTGGAGCTGTTCTCGACGCCAGGAGTGCGTCCTCAGCCGGAGCCCCGAGGGTTCCGAAATCTGGATTCTCATGACGTGGAAGAAGGGCAGGGTGCTCGGATCCACGAGCTTCGTGAATCATGTGTATCGATGGTGAACAAGGAGAAACCAAAGGTTTTGGATGTCGTGGACTTTTGCGTTCGGATCGCTAGAATGGCTCGGCAGTGCGGAGGGTATTTCTTCTTCGAGGCCCCGGCGAAAGCCAAGACGTGGGATATTCCAGGTCTCCGTCGCTCGTGTCTCGAACCAGGTCTTCGCATGGCGTCGGCGCATGGCTGCCAGGTTGGCTTCGGTGATCCTATTCCAGGGCGTGCGTTGCAGAAGATGTGGTGTCCTGCGACAAACGGTGACGTTTTGAAGCGGGCCCTGGCTGAGCGAAGATGCTCGGGGAACTCCGGCGGGATCCAGCGCGGCGTTCTTTCGCGGGCATAGCCGCCTTAGCTGGTGGAGGACTTCGCGGGGGGCTTTCTCATTCAGCTTGCAGTGGGCGAGGTTAGCGGGAATGGTCCGGCGCCTGCTGCGGAGGATCCGGGGGGGGGGGTCGCGTAGCGACGTCGGCTTGGTTTTGGCAGCGCACCGCGGAGACCCCATGCCAACCCTGGGCACCCCAGCAACATTATCAGGGTGCTTAAACACGCGAATGCGATGGTTGTCTGGAGCGCCCGTGAGTTCAAGCGTTCAGTACGTGACGGCAGGAGGCCGCCTAGCGCTGCCGACGGCGGTGGCCCCCTTGAGACTGCTCGAGGTGAGCGTCAAGGAGGTGCGAGGATGGTCAGAGTCGATGAACGTGAATTGCCTGAATGTCTCGCGCGGTTCAAGTGCGCGGCAGCAGATGACTCCTTCCTTCGAGCCCGAGACGGGCGAGGAGCTCCGTCGGGGTCTTTATGGACCCTGGATTCAGCCCTATGGGGCTCCCGAGGTCAACGGGTTCGATACGAGCGAGGTGAAATGCGGCCAGAAGTCGATGGACTCCTAGGGGGGCCTGGGCATTGAGGCGCACGGCCAGATCGGCCGAGTGGAGAGCCACGGTCAGTCTTTCGATGACGTCTTCAACAAGGTCTGTGATCCGCGCACTCCAGATGCCAAGGGGAGGTGGTTGGCTCGTCTCGACGCGGCTGTTGTGCCAAAGAATTTTCTACCAAGGAAGCGCGGGCACTCACCTGATCAGAATGCGATTGGCCGCGGCCCAGAGACGCCAGCCGACCTGCTGCAGGATCCCCCAGACGTCGCAGCTTCTGGGATGGCGTTGAAGGAAGGGCCTTTTGAATGCGCCGAACGGAGTCGACAGGCGGCTAGGATTGAGGCGGTCAACAGGACTGGCGACGGAGCCGCCCACGCAGCGCTGGACGCTCGACCTCGTGCCCCCCGTGAGTTCGCCCCTAGAGATCGCGCGGCGGTTTTGCGCCGAGGCCGAGGCGTGCCTGGGGAGACAGCTCATGCTCGATGTCGAGGGTCTGCGCGTTGTCAGGTGCCCTGCGAGAGGTAACTACTGGGTCGCGATGCCTGGCGCGGTGCTGAAGGCGTCCCCGGAGCAGCTGAGAATGGCCACGGAGTAGGAGAAGCTTGCCGAGGAAGTGGTTCGATCTGAGCTGCAGGCGTTGGCTGGGGGTTCATGTCGGGCGCGGGCCCCCTGCCGACCTTTCTGGATATTACCGAGGAGGGTGGCCCGCCGGCCTGGGGGCGCCACACTTCCAGTGCCTCTCGCGGTTTGTCCAGCCCAAGCTGGGGGGCCGGATGGTCACCGAGCGGCTGTCATACGTGTTTTACCGTCAGAGTCTCGGGAAGCTGTGGACCCTGCCCCTGGTCTGCAGCAGTTCCGCCGGAGCCGCCTCAGGTGCCCACCTCATCTTCATCTTCCGAGAGGACTGGCCAGGTTGTCGGTGGCATCACCCATCCGATGAGCCTGCCTCCTTCGCCCGCTGCAGCTGTCATGCGCGGTGCTGGAGTTCGCCCCGAGGAGCTGTTGCGTCGAGAGCAGGCTCTTCGTCGGCGCCCTGGTGAGGAGCTCTCGGGCGATGCCCTCGTTCCTGAGGAATCCGAGGACGATGGGTGGGCTTGGGGCGATGCGCGCGGGCCAGTGCGAGGGCGCCGAGGTTGACGACGTGCTCTTGACGAACGGCAAGGAGGCGATCAGCATCCGACATCCCAAGTGGCGCAGTGAGAACGGCGAGGCAAAGGTGGCAGCTGGCTCTCAGAAGGAGTGGAACAACGCGCACAAGGACAAGCAGGCCCTCATACCCGTCGCGAGCGGCCTGGCCGAGCGCTGGGGGCGGTGTGATCGTGGCATCGAAGTTGGACGACAGCGGCCAGGAGATTGCGAATGGCCGTTTGTGTGGCCATGTTTTTTCCTGACTTTGCTTCGTTTCTGTTTGCGAGAAATGACGATGTCGCCACCTGCTCTTTCCCATGATGGCACGGCGGCAGCGCGCAAATTTCTGGCGCCAAGCAAGTTCCGGATGGGCACCGCGGACGTGACTGGCGCCTTTTCGGAGGCAGACGAGTAAAGACGTCGACGGGCAAGATCTATCTCCGACTTCAGCGTCGGGTTGCCAGGGCTGGCCCCAGACGGGATCCCTGAGGTCGCGAAGCCCATCTATGGCCTGTGTGGCTCTCCTGCGACGCGGCGGCAAAAGTTTGCGATGCGCCGCTGCTGCGGGCGCCCGAGTCGGGAGGTTCAGGATGGGCCCAGTCGAGAATTTTGCCATGCATCCTTTCTGTTTCCGAAGAGACTCGGATGCGTTGTCTCATTGCAACGCATGTGGATAATACCCTCTCCGGAGGCAGTGGTGAAAAGCATCGTTGTGCCATCCAGCATATCCGCGGCGTCTTCCTGTTTCGCAACTTGCGCGCGGGTCAGGGCGGGCCGCGTGGGTCATCGCTGTGGCAAGACCCTCAGTCTTCTGATCTGCTCATATCGGGGCAAGGCTTCGCCGCCCAGGCGAGTCCCGCTCGGGCCTGGCCCCGAAGAACACCCCAGCCCGCGGCAGGGCAGTTCCGACACGCAAATGCTATTGTCCGACGGGCGAAGCAGTTCAGCGCGGTGCGATGGCGGGTCCGACACATACCTATCAACCGTTTGCGACTTGTTGCTCGTGCTGATGCGTCTAATCAACGTGCTGCCAGCCCTGGAACTCAAACTGGATGCATGCTTGCTGCGACCGACAATGCGACGATTGTTGACCACCTCGCCCCGCGGAGTCCATTGCGTTGGCGCAGCTATCGTCTGCGCCGGGTTACTGTGTCCACCCTGGCAGCAGAGGCTCAAGTGCAGATGGATGCTCCTGGTCATTCGCGGTGGTTGGCATGTATTTTCTGCGAGGCCCTGGACCCGGCTTTTTCCATGGAAGCTCGTTCTGGATCGCTACCTCGATCGGGGCTTCTTGGTGTAAGGGATTGTAAAGCTCTATATGGCCATCTGACATCATGCAGTGC